AGCGTCAACTTCATCAATTTACTTCTTAAGAAAGTTAAATGAGATAATTTCTACTAATGGAGATTGATAGTACACAAAAAAATGTTCTCTGATTTAAGCATCTTAGGGAAAATGTGAAAACTAGGATGAAAACAAAACATTCAGGGACTTAAATAATCCAAATATGGAACATGGTGGAGTATAGAAAATTGTATTTACTACAGTCAACTATAACTTAATTTAGTAGTGTGAAACACATACTCTCTACTAAGAGCGTCCTCTGTTGGATTTAATAACATACTGTATATATTCTGAATTGTACTTTTGTATTAGACCTATTTTATATTTGTATAATCCCTCTAATTTAAAATGGTTTGCTTAAAATTCAAAATAAAGTTAAATATCAGGTAAATAAAAATAGTATTGCTATCACCAAAAACCTCATTCTGGTTACTGACCTAAGGCCTGTTGGCAGTGAAGGATGTGGAAGTCATTGTGCATACAGGCAGCGAGCAGCAGGTGTGGATTTGTCGGATGCCACTTGAGCCTCCACACACCTCCACCCATGTTGCTCTCACTGAGTGGCTGCTTCATGTTCCTACCATCCCACAATAGAACCTGCTCATCGTAACTGCAGGAAAAAAAGTAAACAAGAGGACACACGGGAGTCAGAGACCTTGCTGATCCATTTCTCATTCTCTGAGGGTCACTGTGATACGCACCTGCCTGTAGCAAGAATGTGTTCTCGGTGAGGGCTGCTCTGAATACTGCATACTCCCATAGAGTGCCTTTAAAAAAATACACAAAAGGAATTAACATTGGTTTTATCGCAAACAAAAATCCAGATAAGCAACACTCACCGTTTACTGGTCAGAGTGGGACAGGAGGGCCCAACCCTCAGATCCCAGCCTTTTAGTTTACAGTCATCACCTCCTGGACAGTAGAGACAAACCAGTTATGGTTGAGTGAATTGACCAGAGAAGGAAAATAAAATCGAAATGATTTAAATTACCAGAGTAAACCAGCTGTGAGTCCCAATAGGAGAATGCAGAGATCCAGGCCTCAAAGTCGTGAGCTTTCCACTGAGAAAGCATCATCAGAGAATCTTCACCCATAGTCTGAACACTGACACAGCCAGCCGAGTCACTGCAGACCAGCCGAACATCCTCACTACCGCTACTACTGCCATCATACAATCAGGGAAAAGTTAAGAACATTCTTAATCATTTTCAAGTAATTTTTTAAAGACTTAATTTCATGGTACTTTGAGTTTATTTCTGGACTGCATTTAGTTGAAACTGTTTTAGCTCTAAAATGTGTAGTCGTGAGAAAACAAATTTAAAAAAAATCAAACAACCAATTATGAGAATTTTATTACCCGTTCATGCGACCAGTTGACCAGTCCAGTGACAGAACCAGCCGCTGTGGGCCCACCTCCAAACTGTGGACAGCCTTTAGAGTATGGCTGCGGTCCTACTGGATACACACAGTCATGAGTGCAGACAAATAACAGAATAAAAAAAGAAAACATCAAATGAAATGACAAGAACCATTACTGTCTGTGATTTTTCTTCACTTCTGACCTGATTCAGAGACATGCCATACAGCTGAAGCTCTCCTGAAGCGGCTGCTGCTCCCAGCAATGCTTTCCCTGACACCGGGACGTGACACCTGAGCATAAAAGAACAGTAAATCAGAAAGAGGTAGACAAAAAGTGACAACAACAACTTACTGATCTTTTTGATTTCCTTACCATTTCAAATCTAAAATGGCAGCTGTGTCAATTTGCTGCAGCTCAGTGAGAGGTGGACTCATCAGAGCATCTTGACGAAAGTTAAAAAGGTACAAACGACCACTTCTGCTGGGTGTGGCCTCTTCTCCAGCTGTCTACAGGATAAAACATAAAACTGGATGTTGTAACATTGTTAGTCACAATCTCTGAAAGGTTACAACTAGAAAATTTAATTGTCACACATCTAATGTGCAAGAATATTCACCTTTGCACTACTTCAATACAAAATTATTTGTTTTTTTTTCCTCACTTAGTCTTACAATTTCAAATAATATTGCAGACAAAAAAAGTAATTTCCTACGCTGAAAGACCTGGAAACAGCGTTTGAGATCATTTGTTAATGTTAAGATTCTGTCTTGTTCTTCTCTACAGTCTTCCCTTTTGGCCTTGTGTGTGAGTGGGAGTGTGTGTTGATCTTACGCCCTTGTTCAGCTGGTATGTCCCACAGACTAGAATGTTGTGACACGGTGAGACAGGGCACCACTCCACGGAGTCGGTGCTCTGCTCTGTGTCAAACACTTGCAGACTTCGTGTCCTCGACTTCCACGCCATGAGCTGCTGCTCCGCATTACTTCACAGCTGATGTCACTGGTGAAGCAAGTTCAGTTCAGCCAGAAATCCAACAACACTACAGGTGATAAAACCGGTGCATCAGCTCATTAATCCCTTAATACTGTACCTCCCTAGAGCGAGCTAAGTCGGCAAACAAGCTAAAACATTGTCATTGAACACAAAACTAAAAACATACCTGTTTTCATTCAAGTAACAAAAACGCAATGTTTCCAAACGAAGACAAATTAATAAATGTTTTACACAAAACTATCACATAAACTCACATGGTAGCGTGTCAGTCCACCACAGTATTCTCCCATAAGACGTGAGCGATTACGTAAGGTCACATGACCACGCTCTTCTTTTTTCTTTTCTTTGGCTGTTGTGCGGGAAGACGCAACTCAACAAGAACGTCGTCCTGCCCTCTTCAGGACATTTGTAGATTTGTGGTATTGCCGACTGCATTAATTTGTGCTGCGCAACATTTTGAGATTTTGCGGAACTAAAAACAAACATACTGACATAGAGTTTGTTCTTTTAAGTATTTACTTTAAAGACAACAATATTCTGTAGCTTAAGAACGAACCCGTGGAACCAAGATACAAAAGAATTGCCCAATAAGCTATTGTGATTCACCAGTAAATCACAAAGGTACTGGTACTGGAGGATTAAAAATATATATACTGCATATATATACAGTATATAATATGAGTAAATATATATTTAATATTATATTTAATGGTAGAGTCTGTCTTTCAGGCCTCCATTCTGGACTTCTACATTTATATTTATATTCTCTTTGGTCACAGACAAGTGACTTAATTTAGCCCGTTCTTTGCTGCATATCATTGGTCAATGAAGTTTCCATGTATATCATCATGAGAAACAGGAAGTGAGTGTTTCTGTTAAAAACCCCTTGAGGAGCAGAAGAGGCAGAGAGCAAAGGGGAAGTGTGACAGTAACTGTAGCAGGGGAACAGAGCTCTGAGGTGAAAACAACATCAATTGACGCGTTTTATTTCTTATTCTTCCAAACGGGTAAGACTTCATTTTGGCTTTATTACATTCTTTTAAAGTAAAGCTCTAATGTTTCTGTTGGTAAGGTATTTTTTGTGATGTAACAATATGTTGACAAGAGATTCCAAAAGAAAAGCATAGTTAAGAAAATCAGTCCAGTGTGTTAGCGCTGAAACTTTAGAATAAGGTTTAATATGAACTGTCAACAATTAAACTACAAAACCCTTTTATATATTTGAATCCTTAAGATGGTAATACAATATATGTTATAGTAAAAAATACTGAACAATTAAAAACACAAAAATTGTGTAGATTCAAAGATTCAAGAAGAAGTATTTTTTTTATTGTTGATTTAAAAGTATGTACTGGACATGAAGAGGAATTTAAATTCTATTTCCATGGTGATATTATTGAATATAATAGAATGCAAAATATATAGATAGATAGATATTTTGCTCAGCATATTTAAAGAAGAAAAATATAAAATAAAATTTTTGAAACCAATAATAATTAATATTCACAATAAAAACAAAATAACTAATTATGGATTTACAATTTACAAAATTAAATAAATAATACATAAAAATGTTACCAAATTTATAATTAATCAAAGTAAAAATAAAAAAACACTGACTACAAAAGCCTTTAAAATATATAATTTATATATATATAATTGTAAATACATATCAATCATTATTTTACATAAAACATAGTAATAAATACAGTTCATTATGAAATACAATTTAAAATAGACAGCTCATCTGTGAGACATTTTCTGAGAAATAATATTCTTCTATCAGTTGTTCAGATGGTACAGGTACTTTTGTGAAGATTTTTTATTGGCTAAAACAGCTGTGATGTCATCAATGTAAATAGAATTATTCAAAGCATGTATTAATAAGAAGTTTATTTTAGGGTAGGTGGACTTTCTTCTTGTAATGTGACATAAAGGAAGGAACACAGACACACACCCACACACTGCTGCCTTCAGTTTCACTTCATCTTTTTTGTAATTTGTGGCATTTATATATATGTGTGTTAATTGTGGAGCTAAATTATTTTTCTAAGTAATTGAAATTCTTAGCTGAGCTCTTGTTAATTCTATGTTCACAGGTCTGATCACAGGTGTGCACCATGGCTCACGGCTGCCTCAAGTGTTTAAAGTACACCATGTGTGTCGCCAACCTCCTGTGCTTTGTATGTATGACTTAGTGACATGAACAACACAGTGCTGTTAACTTGTGTAAAGAACCTTTTATCAAGTCAAGAATTTACAAAACACATTTGTTTCAACGGACTTTACAGACGGACCTATCAGAACAGACAATGGGGAAAAATGTAAATACAGCCAATATAATTTTGAGTTTAAAGTAAATTAACAATACAGAGTTAGGGTTAGGGTTTTGAGAACCTATTATTTTAGTTTATAGTATTTAGGCTTTTAAGAGATTGGTACAAGTATTTATTATCTTGTTTTTTATGAAGTTCATAATATATAATATACTGTATTAAAAAGTGGTGGATAAGTCCCCTTGCTTATGAGCAAAAAGGGCAATAGTTCAATTCCTGCTTGTAACTGTTCTGTATAGCAGGCACAGGCTGAATCCAGCCTGCCAGTCCATCCACTCTGGCCCATGACTGGATTCCTAAATTGTGAGGATGAAAGAGAAAATATCTTGTTGTCCCTCCTTCTACAGCAACTAAAAAATAAACAACAACTAAGACTTAAATAACTATTGTTACTTAAGTCTCTGAATTTATGATTCATTTGAAAAACTAGTGTTTTTTATTATATCTGAGGGTCTGGCCCACAAAGTGTATATAGTTGGTGATCTTTAGGTAGTTTTGACGTTAACTCAAGTCCAATTCTTCAATCAGTCCTTGTGTTTTTATCGGTTTTTAATTGTAGACCATGTTTCTTTTGACACATTTGGAAAAAGAAGCATGAACCAAAACACCATGTACACGTTACACTCTGTGGTCCATCAGACCTTTAAGTTGAGCCCGTTGTCTGTTTCAGGTGTGTGGTGTGTCAGTGTTGAGTTTTGGTATCTACTTGATGGCGAAATTCCGAGTGGTTGCCCTCATACCAGAGTTAGCTAACTTTAACATCGCTAATATGCTGATGGTCAGTGGAATCATCATCACCTGTGTCTCCTTCCTGGGATTTCTGGGAGCTTTGAAGGAGAACCGCTGTCTGCTCATAATGGTAACACACACTAACACACATGCACACAAGGTACACAAAGATGTATGTAAATCATAGATCTCCTCTGTGGTTGTTGACAGTACTTCCTGCTGCTGTTTCTCCTGATGGTGGTGGAGTTGACCGCAGCCTGTCTGCTGCTGGTGTCTGATGGACAGGTGGGAGCAGGTTTCATCGCATTAAACTTCTACCAGAAAACATTTGAAATCCTGACCTGACCTCTCTCCTCAGATTGAGTCAAAAGTTGAAGGGAGGCTTGTCACCGGTTTGGAGAAGGCCAAAACTGGAGGAGCAAAGAATTCAACAATACTGAATGAGTGGGATCTGCTCCAGATAAACGTGAGATACTTACTTACTCGGGCACTGAATAACATGTAGTCGCTGTTTAGTTACATTTGCTGTTGAAGATGTAGGAATTGGTCAAACGTCAGCAATAAAAACATTTTTATTATTAAGGCTAAAATTATAGGGATCAGTCAAGATGTCTGTCAAAAGATTATACAAGTAGAACCAAGATGTAAAGATTGGATACACTGGGCAGTGGCGACTTGGGTGTGGAAGGTTTCAGGTTTAGCTGCCAAGTTGCCACTGAGCATGGCACCGTCCCCACATACTGCAACCCTGGGCTGGCCCCCCTGTTCACTTTGATGATGGCTAAAATGGAGAGGTCACATTTGGTTGTGTGCAGTTGTGCGCTGTGTCACAATGTCAAATAATTCACTTTCTAATTACTAATTTTCTAAAACTGTTTTAGGAAAAAAACGCTAGCTGCTAACGTAGATGAAATGGGTGTGAGGCTAAAGCTACAATAACTAGAAACAGAAAACCAAAGACATATTGACATACCGCTGACATTTTCATCACTGATGATGATGAAGAATAATGCCATGGCCATTTCTTTCAGTTTGACTGCTGTGGAGTCAAGAATGAGTCTGATTGGGGAAACAAAATTCCTGCATCCTGTTGCAAGGACCAATGTACAATTCCCAGACCTCCATTCAGAGAGACGGTAAGAATGAAAGTTGTGGTGGGCAACATCCTGCTGTTTTCAGTTATAAAAATCTTTCCGGATAATTACTGGCACATGATCCGAGCCAAAACTAGATTTTAGTTCCCACAATTTAATGTTGTAAATTTTAATGATATTTGTTGTTGTTGTCTTTTCCTCTGTTTCTCAGGGATGTTATGACAAATTGAAGATGTGGGTGGAAGATAATTTTCTAGCGATAGGAATCTCTGTCATTGCCCTCTGTGTCATTGAGGTAAGACGGGGTCAGATCAAGTTCTTGTACTACTGTGGAACTTGTAAACTTTGCTCAACTGTACATAAAAAGAATCTTAGCCTTAACTCTGCACTGAAGCCAGATTTAACAATACATTTTAGACCAGTACATTAATCTCCCAAACTTTAATGTGTGAAAGTCTTCATCATAATTGGAAATAGTAGTACTATTCACACACAACACAACAATAAAAATTGTTTTTGTTCTGGTCTATCACAGGTGTTGGGAATGTGCTTTGCTATGACGCTCTACTGCCACATCAGCAAATCAGGACTGGGATACAAGTTGTAGACAAAAAGATGACGTCTGCTTATAAGACAAAGGAATCGAACAAAGGAAGTTACATCATTTGTGGTTTCCTCGCACTGTCAACCTCTGAGATGTCTTTGTAATTAATCACTCTTTTATTGCATTTACAACCTACGTTATTTTTATCTGTAGTGTATAAATATACAACACATGCTATATATTAGAACAGTGATTCCCAACCACTGTGCCGTGGCACACTAGTGTGCCGTGAGAGATCAATAGATGTACCATGGAAAATAATCAGATTTCAATTGTTTTTTTGTTTCTCAATGCGTGACAAGAAGAACAACAAATTACTCTTCACTTGTTGGCAGTAGATGTCTATGAAAACTAAAAAAAAAACATAATCAGAGCTGTTTAGGATCTTTGTGAGTGTCTTTCTTCAATTCCTGCCAGTATATTAACTTTGTCTTTAACTAAACAGGTTGAGATTTTATTCAATTATGAGGTCATTTTAACTAGAAGATTATTATATTTCATTATATATATTTTTTGTTCGATTTTTGTTTGGTGGTGTGCTGTGGGGTTTGCCCTGATGATATATATGTACCGTGGCTCAAAAAAGGTTGGGAAACACTGGTTTAAAACATTCAGCCCTTAATACTCCCGTGTTCTCGCATACGCTTCTATTTTGAAACTGCTCTAATAAAGACTGTTCTGCACAGTTGTTTTTAATCTCATGCGGTGACTCGTCCTCCTGTTCATTGTAGAACCGTTCTCTGTCGTCGCAAGTGAAAGCCTTCACCTATCGCCTCTGCTGCAGCTGTACATTTAACAATTTAACCACTTCCTCTTTCAACCCCGCCCTGCAATCGTCACACACTTCCTGAAACACACATCACCCACTCATACTAATATGTTCCACATTACACTTTGCAACTATATCATGTTATGTTGGTCATTTGCCTTGCCAGTTCCTGGCTAACTTTTAGCCCTGTATATCTAGATAAGCAGTGATTTTAAATCTAACTACTTTTAAAACTGCTTTTGTTGAAATTATTGAAATGATTATTTTCTTCATTTACAATAATTTTGAGCATTAAAACAAAACAACAGGACAAACCAAATTTAAAAACCAACAGCACACATGGAGGAAAATTTAATTTATTTAAAGAATAAAACCTGCATCAACATTTTAAGACAAAAAAAAAACTAAAAAATACTAAGATTTCCTTTACACTTTTAAAATAATTTTGTTCTTTTTTAAACCATCACACACAAAATAGAAACAAGTAAAATGTTGGTAATAAAAAAATTTAACTGTACACAGCAGAATGAAACATTTATTGCAAACAAAAACCCTGACACCTCTGAAACTATTAACACGTTTTTCAATTCACCTAAGGATATCAAAAGAGACAAACAAAATACAACTGTTACAGCATCATCGTCTTTAAACGCCATCATCTCCTAATAGACAAACTACTGTATTAAGACTGATTTTCCCTCCTCCGTTGCCCCCTACAGGTGTCTGAAGGAATCTCTCAGCACACTAGATAAAACGGTCCACATTAAAAGTCAAATTAACCATTTCAAAATATTAGGTGGCTAAACTGTAATGTGTACTGTCTGAGTGGGCTCAAGAAACACACATTAAACAATCTGTTATGACATTATTAGAAAGGATCCTGATGTCGCTTTATTTTTATTTGTTTTGTTTTAAAGGCCCAGTATTTAACATTCCGAAGAGTAAATGGCAAAGTATGGATCAAGTATCTGGAAAAAACAGTAGTTGCTTTAAAACTAAAAAAATTGGTTTAAGTTTTAAAATCATCTTAATCTTTAAAAATTGGTCTGAATTCCCTTCGACTGAGTGAACAAATTTGGAGAGAATAAAAAGCAGAGGCATCAAAAAACAATACTTGGTCTTAATGTATGTCCACAGTGCTAGCTGAGGAGGAGGTCTCTGATATTATGGGTAAGGGTACAACAGCTGAGGAGGTGGTCTCTGTTGAATTGCCTATTGTAAAGTTTGAATCCAATTGGCTCAAACTCTCGTGTTTTACGTTTTAATGTAAAATACACAGAGACAAGACTTCAGTCGTTAATGTTCCATTTGAGGACTGCACCAGACTGACATGGTCTGAATATGGACGGCTGTGCCATTGAGCGCACATCATCTGTGTGTTCTAAGTGAAGGATTTAGGCTAAGAGTTCACTACACTCACTCATTCTGACACACTGGGCCTTTAAAAAAACAATATGTTGTTGTTATTGCTTAGACAGCTTGTCTTCCTTTTTATTCAGTAAGGCATACTTAGATATTTTTGGTTTTAATGTGTTATACACATAACGTTACAGTATGAATAAGAAACCCTGTCTTTAAATGTTTGCTGTGTCCATTTGTGCTTTAGGTATTTGAATAGATGAGCTGAGCCCTGCAGTGAAAAGGTATGAGGGTAAAGAGTGATCCAATGGAACAGAAAGTACCGTGAAAAAGAACCTTTCAGTCTTTCTTCACGTTTGAGCAGCTCCAACACAGCGAATATTAATAAATAAGACAAAGACAGAGGAAGGTTTCACTCTCACTGCTCCGAAAACATTCACTGTAACAAACTCCTGCAACGGACACCTATACCAGGACCACCAACAAAACCACAAAACACCAGCATAAGTTAAAATAGATTTGTCAGGGTACCCAGCCCCTAGTTTTAACAATGTAAGAATGTTAAATATAGGAGATATTATCAACACAAACTGAATGTGGTAAAGAGGAGTACATTCACAAAGTTTATCAAATAGAAAGTCTGTGAACTGAAAGCAGAACACACACTGAATTATGATTGTTCTAAGTAAAGACAGAACAGCTTTCTGAATATTAGCCCCTCCTACTAGTGCCACAAACGAGATTATCTTAAAAGACAGCACCTGGTGGTCAGTGAAAGAAAAAAAAGCTGAATTATCCACTATTAATGAAGTTTAAGACTAAATAGTGAACACAGTGACTTAGGATATGTTTCTACCACAGCAGATGGGTCTCACCGATATTGTTATACATTGAAAGAAGCACATGACTGCACTGAGCATCTAAAGTATGTGAGCTTATCAGGTGACCTGGAACAACAGGCATTATGGCTGAGTTTAACAGATTACAACATTTAAAAGCATTTACCTTAGTGCTGTCTTTTGGATCACAACATAAAACTTTTTGGTGATTTGATTACACCAACATTATAGACTTTCCAGCAGGATGTGAATTTTGTGACTCAAATAAAATCAAGACATACCTTCTCATTAAAAATAAAGAGTTTTCCTGCAGGAGGGTTGATGTTGGTCTTTTCTTGAAATGTGGCCTGGTTGAGGCACAGGAATCACGTGGAGTTGGACCGGTGAACGCAGCTGCAGGCTTTTCTCACAGGGGCATCAGCCTTGTGGTGTGGAAAAGAAGGGGATTCAGGTCCTCTGCGTTGACGGCCCGGTGCAGCGACGGCTCCGAACGACTCCGCTCGATTTTTGGCAGCAAGTCTTGCACCTGCTCAATGGACACCAAGATCTGAGGAATAAAAGAAAGATGCAAGTGTAATGATAAGGCATAATAACTAGTCTCAGATTTAACCTTCTGAAACCTTAACATACAAAGGTAAATTGTCATTTACTGCACTTTGCTTACAAATATCCTGTAAATGGGATCTGATCTTTTTATATGGACTTTAAATACAGACAGATTTCAAACTTACCTGAGGAAACAGAGGCCTCTCATCTCGTTTTGACTTTAGGCAGTCAATAATTAGCCTTTTCATTGATTTGGGTAAGGTACTATAGAGTTTACTGAGGTCTGGAGACAGGTAGCCTCGTCCAACCATAAAGATTATCTGAGAAAAAAAAAACCAAAACAATAACATTAAATTGACTGTCATAAACAGGCTGCAATTTAAGACAAAAGCGTTTCTACATTTTTAACAACAGGATGTCCTTGACACAAAGACAGTGTTTATTTAATTCAAGACAATGTACAAGTGTGGAAAGTGTTTCACTCTCACTCAAAAAATGACAGACTGGACTCATTGATCGAACACGACTTAGAAAACAAAGGAGAAAGAGAGAGAATGTAGAGTGTGATATCACCTGATCTCTGTTGTTAATATTGGAGTAAGGCAGTGTCCCTGACATCAACTCAAACAGCACTATCCCATAGCCGTATACGTCTGACTGGAAAGTGTAGGGGTTACTGTCCTGCATCCGGATCACCTCTGGGGCCTTCAAAGGAAAAATACAAAAACAGAAAAGACATTTTGACTTTTTTTTTTCATCTTCATAAAATAGTCATTCAGCTGGAAGCAGCTCAAACTGTGGTATGTGTATGAACGCTCTCTATGAAAAATTCATATTTTCACATTTACATTTTCAATTGAATAATTCTGAAACATACCAAGCACAATTAATACAACACTTAGAACAAATGTGTAGCTACTTGTGAGATTATGAAATAACATGTCCGGTCTTTTTATTTAATTACTTGTTTTTTGTCTGTTGCTCACGTGAGTACAGGCAGCACTTGAACGTGGAACAAGCAGGGGAATTCTAATGTTGGTCATCATGGTGGTACTCAGAGAGATCAATGTTTTCTCAGGTGGTACAGAGTATAAACAGTTTGAGAAGCACTGACTTAAGCTAAGAGCAATTGGGACACATCACAATTACGTTGTGGGGGAAGTTTGACTTTGACTGCGCTTTCCCTTGACACACCTTTAAAACATATAGTTATACACCAGTAATGAAGACTTGTTTAGCACATGAGTGTAATCATAAACATAAATTATTAATTTGAATATTACAATTAAATTACCCAGCAGCTGTTAATTAACATTATTTTTACTGATCATCTTTCTGGAATAACAAAACACGTCACTTTCTTTACCAAACTAAACCAAAGTATCAGTCAGAAGATTTCCTTTTGGAATCAAAGTGACTGAAGTGAAGTGTTCAGAGAAAGATCTACTCACCATCCAGAGGATGGAGCCACTTGGCTGCTCCACCTGTTGAGAACCGCTCCACCGAGACTTCACTGTGGCTAAGCCAAAGTCACCGATCTTTACAGTCCAGCCTTCATGGAGAAAAATGTCTGAAGGCAAAGCTCAGGAACTCTTAATTCACACAGGTGCAACAAACAAGTTAAAAATTCCTCCTCCTTCGATTATAGTGCTGTGAAAGAGGAGGACGTTAAGAAAAGTGAGTGAAAACTGTTAGATAATGAAAGATAAAAGGATACTATTGGATTTTAGATCTCGGTGAATGATGTTCTTGGCATGAAGATAACTGAAAGAACAAGAAAAAAAAACTTTCAGTGTGAATGTTGAACAATGGAAATGGAAACTTTCTAAGGCCAGCAATTTTCACACATGCTCTCTAACACCAATAAAGCTTCAAGTTCTTGATGTGTTGGTAGAACACATGCTATAGTGTTGGTACTTCATATTAATAAAATAAACAAAAAAACAAAAAACACAGGTACATTCTCTGCACTATGTCTGAGATGATTGCACCTGAACTTATACAAACACATAAAATTAGGTGGAACAAATATATTCATGTTTCCTTATATTTAATACATATCATTTTGATATTGGTATACAATCTATAGTTCAGATGCAGTCAAAGTATTTGGGAAAATATAACAGCAGCTCTTACTCCATGCCCTGTGCTGTCTGTCTGGCTACATCGATGCGTGTCATTGTCTCAAACTTGGTCTCTTTAACGTGCAGGTGGCGGTACAGGCTGCTGCCTTCACACCACTGTGTAATGATGGCGAAGTTGGGCTTAGTCATGTAGCCCATGAATAGCAGGATGTTGACGTGACGGGTCTTCCTGCAAAAGAAATGATAACCATTAGTTCATTTTTTTTTCAGGTTCTTTTTAGATGCATCAATTTGTGGCTGGTGTCTTTCACTGCCACACAACACTGTGGGTAAATAATTCTGCAACTTTGTTTCAAGAAAACAAAATAAAGACATTTAAACATTAAATATTTTAGGTCAAATCCTTCTATTAAACAAGCATTTATTTGGTTAGTTTTTGAAAGTTATAATGTTTCAAGAACTACCACCACTGACCTTAAAACCTGCATCTCATTTTTGAAGGCCTGTAACTGCTCAGGTGTTGGCTCTGTCACCTTAAGGATCTTGATGGCAACATCACCGTGCCACTTGCCCTTATAGACTGTTCCAAAGGATCCAGCGCCAATCCTTTTCAGAATGGTGACTTCTCGAGAGTGGACCTCCCAGTAGTAACTGGAGTCTCTGTAGCCTCCTCGGTGCTAAAACAAAACACACTCTGATTACTGACCTTATTTTAGAAAATATCAAAAAACAAACAACATTAGTAATGTGAATTTGGGTATTTTTACACACCACTTTCTTTTTGTCATCAGATGAAGATGGCTTCCTTTCCTTGTGTTCAGAAGGTGACTTTGGTGGCTTTCTACCTGGTGAGCCGAGAGAAGTGGGGGGGCTGGTGGAGAGTTTGGGGGAAGGTTCCGGACCTGTGGGGAAAAAGTTCAAGACAAAAAGAAAGTAAAATTAAAAATGACAAAATATACATCAAAATGAGATAATTATATTTTCATACCTGTTGTGTTGTTAAATTTTAGTGCGTCCTAAGAGAAAGAAAAATATTTTGTTAATATTGTCAATATTTTGAGCACATTGTTTACAATAATTTCTACAATGAAAGCGCCCTGGATGATGTCACAATAAGTCTAATATTTTGACCACTGACTCTAGACCCTATCTGACCTCTATGATGCTGGCACCAGCTGGACCCACTGTGCTGACCATGTGAACATTGGGAGTGGATGTAGATCGATGTCTCTGTAATGACTGACCGTCTCCAGCTGGGATGGGGAAGTGAAAGGCTGATGTGGGGGAAAGAAGGTCCATGCTGGGAAATAAATATTCATTCGTTAAATTCATTTTCTGAAAATAATACAACATTGAAAAAACATGCAATTATCCATTTAGTTATTTGCAGCATTAAAACTTACTCAGCAGGCTCTAGGGTTAAGGCTAGGTTGCTGTTTGATGGGGAATTTTCTGGCAACAGTATTTGTGGGTATTCACCTGTCCAGAGATTAGAATTGCGCCTACATAAAACAAAATGGAAATTAATCAGGATAAAGAGATCGAGCACACAGTTCAGTTCAGCATGTTTTCATAAATTGTGATCTTGTCTGTATTTTAGATTTAGGAATGGCTGAGGCATCTTTGCCAAAGATTTTAGTGAGCTTAATAAAATCGTAAAGCTTTCAGAGCAGCTTAATCTTAAAGAAAAAAAAGCACACACTGGTACTGGTATACATTTTCACTATGTTGATCTTTAAACTAACTGTGGTGTACCACAGCATGCGAAACACTGATCTGCTGCCTATCACAAGCAGGATCCAGTGATACACACAAGATACACCCATTTCCTTAGCATTTTTTTAACTAACTCACCGTTTGCTCACAGTATCCATGTCAACGCATACAGTGGGGACTTTACTACTACAGTGTTGATGAAACTTGTAGCCACACGTCTGACATCTGAAGCCATTGAAAAGAAACTTGTGGCAAAAATCACAGTAAGCTAGCTTGAAGAAGGTTTTACGTACCTGTGAAATGTAAGAAGAGACATAATTTATATTCAAATTCAAATCAAAGTCATACAACAACATGTGTGTGCTGTGTTCTGTAAGGTCTTTACTCACAAAATTGTGCATGGTGAGAGGAATATCATCCAGGACCTCGACTATGAGCTCCTCTCCAACTAGAGGAGTGATGTCTGTTTCCCAGTCTGTCAGTCTCTTACGACTAAACATACAAGGACACAAAAAATACGAGATGAACAGTTTAGACTACCAGGAGGTGCAGAATTTAAAACACCAAAGTTTACAATGGAAATACATAAATAACATATAAACAATAAAAAAAAAATCTCACCCTTCAAGGAGACGGTAGACAGCACAGCAGTCCTGGCTCAGGCCTCTGACTTTAAGAGCTTTGTCCAGACTCTCACTAACTGTCTGTCCCTGACGAACATTCACCTAAAACAAGAGTTGTCATTTGTTTAAAGTCTGAATAAACTTTGGATTTAAGTCAAAGGTGATGTAAATACACGCTGTACTCTGTAGGCTTACCAACATAAACATTGTCCTTGGTTTTCTTTCAATTATTTTTTACCTATTTTATGTAGGGGACAAACAATAATTGAATAGAAGCTTTTTTTTGTTGCTCAAGCTCCTCTTTGTTCCTCAAAAACTCACTCTACTGACAGCAAAATTAGCAAATCAACTTCATACCTCTACTGATCAGCAATAAAAATCCCTGGTACTCCATTTTATTTGCACAGCCTGAGGAAAACAGTTTCTTAAGAAAAGTAAAATCTCTGTCTGAGTTTTGAGTCAATGAGTGACAGATGGCTGCAGACACCATCTGTGACACTGAATACCAACTGTTCATTGGCTCCATCATTCATGTACTGAGAAGGATTTCAAATTTTGGTGTGAGTGATCACACTTTCAACCCACACTTTTGGCAAACCTTATACTTCACTAAATTATCTACTTGAATTTAACACTATTTTATTACTTAGTGTATTGCAAGGCCTTAAATCTAAAAAAAAAAACAACAACTAAAAAAAACAAAAAAACAAAACTTGAATATCAAGGGTCTCACCACTGTTCTCTGTTTGTTAGGGAGGTAGACTCTGATGGTGCCTCCACCTCGAGGTACATCTTCTGGACTGGTCTCTCCCGAGGAGGAGTAACAGGAGGAGGTGGACGACATAGTGGGAAAAGTACTGCTAGTAGTTGTGATGCTGCTAACTGTAAACAGCTTCTTGCAAAACGGGGCTCAAAAGAGTTGCCTTTTTATTTTAAATCTGAAACAATAGAGACACAGTTTAATATTAGTAATATTTTTTTAAACTCTCATAACCTGAAATGGCTCACTGACATTTACAAACAGAGAAAGAAAACACATAATATACTGTAAGTTGAATAGGAAAGAAACACACAAGATTAAAATTGTGTTAAATTGTGTTAGTTATTTAAAAATGTATTTAAATAATCCAATGACATCAACTCTCTAACTGAAAGTTGTGCAGTCTGTTCTTAGCTGATTAAAACTTTTCTCCAAAACAAACAAACAAAAAAAAAAAACAGACTTGGTGGAAATATATTACAAATCTATTATGTTTTGTAATATTTAACATAATATTGATTCAATACAAAATGACAGGGAAAAAAAACTGCATGTTGTGGATACATCAAGTGGATACTGAAATAGTGGTCTTGTATTTTCATAAAACTGTAATATTTGTAAACTCACTTTAAATGGTTTATAGAAAACCAAGTCAGTGCTAGTATAAAATTATGAGACTGGCGAAGCAATAAATGAAATGAAGGCACAACAACTGATGGACAAAATATGAAATATCTAGTCAGAATATTAATTAAGTGTAGAGTGTAGCCTATTGCTTGATAAAAGGTATAGTAACTAACTAAAGGCAAGTCGGGACAGCAAAAAAGTAGTATTACCTGGATGCTAAAAGTAAATGTGGCCAAACTAATGCAAAATAGCTATGATGAAACAGAAACAGCTACAAGATTAACAGGTCAATTGTCAACATTACCACTGAACTTTAGTAAAAAGGCAGCATCATGATAATGACTGTAGTAAAGTTAAGCTAAGCAAGGTTAGCCAGAGATTTGCCTGATGGGGGATTTTGATGTTACTGCTAAAATACTTTTAAAAAATCTTTATAGTTTCCAAAGGGATGTGTAGTCGGGAGCATGTATGAAATTACACAAAAGTGATTTGAAGTTATCAGTCGGAAAGTTATTAAAGCGTTTGATGCTAGCAGGGTAGTTAGCACAGCGTGCTAGTTGCTACAGGCTAACTAACAAACACACACACGGAGACAGACTTAAGTATATATGCGAAGCATGCATTATATGTTATCACGCACCGTGAGAACACTTAAATGCTGACATTAGAGCTAGCGCTAGCTGGTTGTAGCGCCGCGATGTCACTTTCTGTACTTTTCCAATTACAAACAGTCTGGCTCGTTTACATTTACATGGGTAGAGAAACACCGTGGAGGCTCTAACCTCTAAAATTCTGACAATTACATAATTACAATTACATTTTTATACATTAAATAAACATTGTTTGCGTGTTCTGTTTTAAATTCCATTCTGCATCTATAATTCACTCTTACCTGTTGCAGCCATCTTGACTCTTCTCAATCTGAAGTTGTCGGGATCTGTCAAGTACTTCGGCAGAAAGCGGAAAACCTCGGAAAAACTCCGTACTCATTGGTCCATTCAGGAAGTCACGTCATTGTACGTCATGGACGTGTTGAACAAGCTGTTTTGACACCAAAGTCAGCAGAGGGTGTTCACACGAAAACGTGAGAAATTATCCTAAAAACTGCAATGAAGAATCCCAGCCAAGCAGCATTGCTAAATCACTTTTAAAGATTCTCTTTAGACAGATGAATATATATATATATATATATATATATATATATATATGAATTAGGTAAAAAAAAAAAGAAAATGGATGTAACAACATCCAATTAAGTCAAAAGTACCTACAAAAAAGGCAAATAAAATAGTTTAAAGTAGGTGAATATAATATATAAAAAAAATAAGAAACAAAGATTGATTGGTCCAAACCAGCTAATATTGGCTAAAATTAAAATGAACCAAAAATAAATGTTGGTCATAAACATTGCAGAACTACATACCCAAAGATAATAAACTGAACAGATCATTACAAACTATTTTATTATAAAACAGTTTATATTTCATTTGCAACAGGATGGAAAATAGATTCTCCAACACTACAGTAGTTGAGAAGGATATGATCTTGGTGAAGAACTGGCTTTAGACCTGTACTGATGTTAAACATTATTTAAGTAATAAAGATTCTTGAGTGGAAGCTATTGTGTAAACATAAGATGCCCTGAAAATTCATCTACTGTTCAAAAACATGCTTTAAACCAAGTTCACGACTTAATACAGCACAAAATTCTCACACATTGTCCAATATCTTCAAATAGTCTAGTTCTTGATTTCTTTACTGATTCCTACTGCACACTAAGGAACCTCCTTTTCTTTGATGTGTGAGTATAGGCATGGTGTCTCCACTCAATGTTTGCTGTGCTCTCATTTTCCAGGGTCCCAAGTTTGATCATGTACACTAGAAAAAGAAAAAGAAATGTAGTTCTGGATGTATAACCCAAAATGCAGGAAACACACAAAAAATATAGTATACGGGTAATTTCTTTAGCTAATTTTCTGACCATTTTTAAATGTATTTCTCTTGATCAAAATACTTACATTTCATTTCAAACCTTGGTCCTACTTCTGTCAATTCCATGTTTTTATGATCTGTCTTCTTGTATGTGTGATGTCTGTGAATACAAAAAAAAAAGTAATTAAGTGTTTTGGTCAGTAGCGCCAACACTGCTGTTAACTTTTATACCCACCTGAAGGAGATGAAGTCCTCCTGGTTGGAAAACGTGATCACACGCCTGCTGTCCTCTTTTGGAACAGGAAACAGATACTTGAGAATATTTGACACCTGTGTGAACAGGAACACAGTTTTTCAAACACCAAGTGGTTCTAGACTACAGCAGCACTTGTTCTGGTTTGTTGTCATACCCGTCTGCCAAGCTGTGAGGTGAAGTTGTTGAAAATGAGGTGAGGGAAGGCCTCGGACATTGTGCCGATGTCAGGAACATCATGTCTCATCACCACATTGTAAAGTGTGAAATAGGCTGTGGGTCCAAACGGTAGGTGGCTCACCACCAGCCCGTCTGCAGAAACACAAGAACAAAATAAGTTATCTAGGACTTGACCATTAGTGCAGTGATGTGTAGATGTTTAAATAATAAAAGTAAAAAAAAAAAACTTTTTAAAAGCTAAAGAAAGTAAAGAATTCCAATTGAGTTGAATTTAAGAATTTTATGCAAGTATTGCCTAATGTTAATGCTAAAGTAAGTCCAGGTTATCCTGTCAGTTTTAGATGTTTTCTTTTTCAACTTTAAGTCATTTTCCTCACCAATGCATTTTGTATATATTAGATATAATAATGTATGAGTGAACAGAAAAACCTGGCTGTCCTCTGGTTTCATGGATGATGACCAAGTCTGTGACGGTGTTGGCTTTACATGCTCGCACAAGAGCAGGAATCTCATGGTTTCCTCTGTTCATACGCTGAGCTCCAGGAAACATCAGCTTCACCTCCTGCAACGTCATGTGCACAGAACATCATGCCATCAGTAACACTATACTGTATATCCTATTAGGGTTATTTAGTGGAAATGCATTTTTGAAGAAGAGGCTTAATTAATTATTTTACAAACATACTTTATTACACATAACAAAATTTGTCCTCTGCATTTGACAAATCCTTGAAGCAGAAGCGAGGCCACTTATTGGACCCAGCAGAGAGGGAGTTTTTGTTCCTGCTCAGTACACAACAGTTCTGTAGCTGGAATTTAAACCTACATTAACCAGTCCTTTGATTGGAGCCAGTCATAGGCTGACCCATCACTATCCTAGAAGTTGATCCACGGCTGCCTTCTGTGGTCAGGTTGTGTTACAGATACATCTGAATATAACTCTTCAACATAGTGACAGAAGTGGATCAGCAAGTGTTGTGTCGCTGTTAGCTAAGAACACTGGTCTTTTTCACTGACTTTGGACCAGAAAGAACACTGTTTTGATGCTACAGGTGGGATAGTTGGTTAATTGGCTGCTTTTTATTTTAATTTTTTTGGTTCATTTGAACTTTCATTTGACCATTTATTTCAACAGAAAAAGTGTGTGTGTGTCACCAGAGGTAAGGGATGTCGTCAGGCTGAAGGAGGAGTCCTACCGAGCCTCGTTGGTTCGTAGGACTCCTGAGGCAGCCGACGGGTACAGGCTGGTCACGCGGACTGCGGTCCACATGTGTTTTGTGGACTTGGAAAATGCTTTCTAAGTCCCCTCTAAGTCCGAGGCCATGGTTCTTGACTGGAAAAAGGTGGTTTGCACCCTCCAGGTTGGGGAAGAGATCCTGCCTCAGGGGTAGGAGTTTAAGTATCTGGGGGTCTTGTTCACGAGTGATGGAAGGATGGAACGAGAGATTGACAGGCGGATTGGTGCTGCATCGGTCTGTTGTGGTGAAGAAGGAGCTGAGCCAAAAGGCAAAGCTCTCGATTTACGTTCCTACCCTCCCCTATGGTCATTAGCTTTGGGTCATGACCATAAGAACAAGATCCCGGATACAAGCGACTGAAATGAGCTTTCTCCGACTGGAGCTCTGTCACCCGAGAGGAGCTCGAAGTAGGGTTGCTGCTCCTCCACATCGAGAGGAGTCAGCTGAGGTGGCTTGGGCAATTACATCGCACGCCTCCCTCGGGAGGTGCTCGGGTCCTGTCCCTGTGGGAGGAGACCTAGGGGAAGACCCAGGACACTCTGGAGCGACTACGTCGCTCGGCTGGCCTGGGAGTGCCTTGGGGTCCCCCCAGAAGAGGAAGTGTTTGAGGAGAGGGAAGTGTAGGTGTCCCTGCTCTGACTGTTGCCCCCGCGACCCGGCCACGGATAAGAGGACGATGATGAATGGATAGATGGATGGAGAAGTGTTTAATACAATATTTGTTTTAAGAAGCAAAACATAAAAATTACTACTAATGTGCCTCAATAATAAAAAAAGACCACAACCATATAGCAATTATATATGAATGGCTGTGCAGAATTAAAACTTAAAAAAAAAAAAATCATACTACTCTGGAACAAACGGGGACTTTGTTTTCTGTTTTGACGGGGACTAACCTTTGCAAACATTTTCAGTCTTGAGCTTGGGTCCCTGGACGTCGTGACCATGATTTTAGGATCTTCTACTCCAGCCCATTTATACTCATCATCCATGTAAGTACTGATCCCTGCACATAGTGAATCACAGAGAGATGACTACCTAAACTACATGAACAAAAAATGGATGGTAATAAAGATTAGCTTTGGTAAATCAATCGTGCGGACCATCTGCTCCGTTATCCTCAAATTCCAGCAGGAGCTGCAGCTTCAGAGCTTCTGTACGAACCTCAGTGGGAAGTATATTGTTTTCTGCACAAACAGTGGAGAGTAGAGATGTCATTGCAAACATGTAAAACACCGCAGAACAACCACCTGACTTGTTTTTGCCAAAGTAAAGGTAAAAACACAGTCGGTGGATTAAATTATATTAATGTTTTCCTAACATAACATTGAATTAGTAATGAATTAAATTTTAGTGTGTCATTTATAATTAATTGAGCAAATAATTAAAATGATTAAAGTAAACTTAAATAGTTGGTCCAAATCACAATGGATTACTTAAATATTTAAAAGAAAAGTCCCCTGTGAAAATAAATATTTGGTTGTACATACTTTTTGGTAATTTGACTTTGTTGCTATAGTTTTGTTATAGTGTTTGTCAGATTTAATGCATTCATAGTGTTGTGAAATAAATTACTTTAACACATAATAATCAACAATTGAACCAAGAGAATCTATGATTTTGACATTCCTAATGGAGAGAGCTTCTTTTTAAACGTCATGTAAAGCTTTTATTAATGAGATTAAACCATCATTGAGACCAAAACCTGGCAGGAAAAGAAATTCTAAGATTATGTGAGGATTTGGATTTTAATTATGTATAAATTTACATTTATTTGGAAAACTGTGCAGATTTGGGGACACATTCTTCCATTTTATCGATACAAAACGAATAGATCAGCAAAGAAGGGTTTGATTCATTGAGCAGTAATCGTCCTTACCATCCAGGGATCTCTTCAGCTTGTTTTTTTTCTCCTCTATAGTCCAAAGTCTGTACTCCTGACCTTTCCTGTACAGGTATTCCTTTCTCAGTCTAACATCTCGACGAAGCTTTAGAGAACAACGTAATACAATGTACACTTTAAATTATTGATTTTTATATCATACGATCATTTCCCCTTCGTTTGGTTTAATCTTATACATTACTGACTATCGCAGTTCAAAAACTTTAAACTTTTTTTAAATAGGTCTGGGAAGTATAGTTATTTTATACTTACCAATATTAGAGCACATATTTAGGTCACTTTAATATGACACAAAACAGTACAATGAGATGAATGTGGCTAAAGCAGTTAGCATCCTGTAACTTAAACATGCGGAAACACCCAATAAAACTAATTATTGGTCTTTCACTACGCTAAAGACGAAAACTTTACGAAAACGTTTTCGTATATAAAAAACAAAAACGACAAACGACAAAAATGTATTTAAAAAAAAAGACACTTACCATGTTGACAGACTAACTCCTCAGTTCCCAGCCGTACTCACGTGGAAGAACCGTACCAACAAGAATGTTTATGATTGGCTGGAATTATCCAATGAGAGCACTCTATAGTGGAACGTGGTCTTTAAAAAAAAGGCGTGGTCTTTTCAAAATAAAGATCAAGCAAATTTATGAGTCGGTCTTGTCTTTTTTTTTGCAGTGCAGGCCTCTTTAAATGTTTATTTAAAGAAAACAACCAAACATCAAATAACGACGCATTCTTCTTACTACCTTTGTAAAGAAAAGAGTCTTTTTGAGGAAATAACTTTTTTATTTGACTGCATTTATTGGATAAACAAAACGCAAGCAAACTCACATACAGTGTAAGGATGGAACATGTCACGAAAATAATATACAAGATGAGTTTCATTCCAAAACAAAACAGTTTTCAAAGTGGAACAGGATTTGTAAAGCAATAATTTAATAAGGTAATTTTATAGGGGAAAACCTCACCAATACTAATGCAGTGAAATGAAGCATAAAAATCTTCCAGCCTTTTAAAATGGTTTTGTCTGCATGTCAAAGCATGATAAACAACACCACAAACTGGTCAATACAGAATGGTACTAGACCTAAAATGTTTCTGTTAAAAATAATTTCATACATTTCACCAATGGCATTTCCACAATGTCTTTCGTAATATTTTGGAAGATATATATTTATATATATTCTTTTCATGCCCTGCTGAAAACTCTCAGCATTAAGCCTCAATAAAATTACAAATACATATACTATTCAGGATAAATGCTGCATAGTTTCATTTTTGGGATATTGAAATCAGAAACCAAGAGAGAGAAAAACAATAGGAAATAGGAAAGCTTTCACTTTAATCTTAAAAATAAACACACATTTGATTGCTGTGTTTGAAATGTTTTGGTGAACATCAACTACTGTTACATGAATGGGATAAAATGGGCACATTTGGACAAGACAACAGAAAAAGAAATCAACAAAAATACACATGAAGCAAAAAGACTTTATGGTGTGTGTTTGTGAGTGTGGAGTAGAGTTTCACCACAAATAACAACAAAGGAGTTATGAAAAATGCTGCACTTCCAGAAAAACATTAACAGAAACATCATCCTATTCTCTTTATTTAGGATAGTGCCCTGTTGTTAAGTCAAATCAAACAAACACAAGAGGACAAATAAATGCACTGATTCACTGCAATTAACAAAGATCCAGGGAGGAGATCCTGTATATTAAATAAAAGGCCCACTTTTTCAAATCTACTTGTAAACAGTCTTCCTTAAGAACACTTATTGACGATGATGACAATAATAATAATAATAATAATAATAATACCAATAATAATAATAATAATAATATCATCCACCTCTTTGGATGAGGATAATGACAACAATCAGTATTGTGACCTCAGACGAAAGCAGATCAACGTAATTAATACAAGCTATTCATTCGTACGGCCTTTATCACCTTTGATAATAATTCATAAAATCCCTAAGCCTTTGTATGGGTCTAAATAGAAGGGTCTTCAATAACACAAAGGATTCTGGTAGGTCTGATACGGGTAAAAATTTCAGAATTAAACATCAAAAAACAACTAGAGCCCGTCTGATCCAATACCTAAGCCCAGACACTCAATTGTTTACTATCGCTTCAGCAATGGCAATTTGTGGCATGCTGGAGGAGAGATGATATCAGATTGATATCTGTATGGGAAAGAAACTCCAAGATGCACTATCAAAATCGTTTCTGATTTTCTAACAGTTTTCCATGAACATTTTTATTCTCTGTAAACATCTGCAAATTTGTTTAGGACAAGTTGAGGGATCTCCTTGTTCTTGTATTCTTTCATCATTGTTTGAATTGATTGAAGCTAGAAAATGGTAGAGAAGGGAATTTACTTCCTGTTGTGATTATTATGTTGACAGGGTCAGTATGGATTTCAGTGCAGATGTACGTATCTTGTAACTAGTCCGAACTTTAAAAAACATTCCCTCAGCTAGTACATTTACAGTACATGAACAGTCAAACAGTTTCAGGGGATAAACTTAGAGTACACTCCTTGCCTAAATTTACAAGCATTATAGAGGAATTATTTTAATGTTTCTTTCTGCTTGTTAGTAATTGGTTATTACTAGTACAACTGTTAGCTGTTAGCAAGTTAGAAAGCTGGCAGAAGGCGTTTGACAGGATTCGTAGCTTTCGGGATTTGTATTAGCTGGGTTTGTAACATAAGCATCAGAATGCTTTAAAACTCAAGCCAACAAACAGAAATTACTATTCTAAAATTATATTTTGATGAATGACTCTGCTCCATTTCAGGTGAGAAGGATGCAGAGAAACTTGGAGTGTTAAATAATATTCAGTAATCTTCTTGTAATCTTCAAGTAATTCACTTGTCCGATATATTAGGGAATATCTCAAGAATGTTACATGGAAGAGTAATACCTTCACTGTGGATGTTATTCTACTTTTTTTGGGCAAATGAAGAAATTATGTTTCTGAATGCAAGTGCAGGTGGAACAGGATCGGTGACAGTGCTAAACCGACACATTTAATTGTTGCTTTAAAACGTTCTTCACCTTATGTAAATTTATTTTTTAGTGAGTTAATTGGTAACATTCAGAGACAACCATCTGGATGAGGAACATTATCACACAGGACACAGAAAATAACACCAAACACGCGCTTTTACTTGGTCAGCCAGGTTACTTTGAGCATGCTCTCAATTATAACATCAACCACACAAACATTCAGACTAAAGTTTCACTGTATTTACAGCAGCTCATCTGCAGAAGAGTGTCATCAAATCAGACAAAAAAAAGAATGAACTGTCTTGTAGTACAAAGAACCAATGAATCTGTGGGGTAACTGTGGGCAATTTTTACAGTACATGTTAGACTTTCTCAACTTTTCTTACCGTAGGAGTGGAAGAAGAATCAGTAGTGCAGACCAAGAGAGAGACACAAACGTACCAGTCTTTCATTTTTTTCCCCAAGTGTTGACAAAGTAGCCTGTTACAGGCTACAGGAACCAGGAGTCCTAGAAAGTTCTAAAGGCCCTCCTTGATGTTCTGTGGCTCCTTTTCCATATTAACAGTTTTCTTTTATAGTTCTTCATAGTCACCATCATCTCTTTCAATGGCTCCTGTGCCCCCACCCAGAAAGTCTTCTAGATCATCCACCTCTGTTTTCTTGGTCCTGGATTTCTTCTTCTTCTTGTCTTTCTCATCTCCTGCAGCAGCAGCGGGATCTTTCTCCTTTTTCTTGTGTTTGTGTTTCTTTTTGCTCTTTTCATCCTCCTGAACAGAAAAAGAAACAGAACTGATGTTTAGTATTTTAACATTAAGGCCATGTCTGTATAAATGAGCAGCAGTGACTTCACTTCTTTGCTTTTTTTCTTCTTTTTCTTCTTTTCTTTGGAATGCTTGCTTTCTTTCTCTGAAAAAACAAACACAATTTTGTGGACAGAAACCTGAAAGCTGTTATTTTCATCTATCTTTAGGTTTTCCAACTGACTTGCTTTAAAAGGTACTCTTCCATGTTTTCACATGGATGATCATACACTTAGCACCACTCTTAGAATATTTGCATTATGCCTCTATATTAGACATTTAAACACCGAGGAAAATAACAAAACCACCATTAACAATCAGATATCTAGATCTCACATTCTTACCCTGAAATACAAAACATCATCTGATAGAACAATATTTCTTTTTAAAAAGTTCAATGTCTTACCTTCTTGCTCTTCACTACTCTCATTTACAGCTAGAACCGTCTCCTGGATTCCCAGACCAAACAAGTCACTGACGTTCTTTTGTTTGAAGGAGACTGCACCGGTCTTCAGAGGTTCTGGTACTTTGACTAATTTCATGTCATCGTCAGAAATATCAGACAGAAGCTCGTCTCTAACAGGAAAGTCATCCTGTCAAAAAGAATAATGATGAAAAACCATTAATAACTGATTTTGTCAAGACAGATCATTTTTGTTTTGTATAAATATGATATCAAGAGTTCCTGCACTCAGCAGTACAAATACTAATCCTGTTCTTCACCTTTGTTATTTTAGGTGTGTCCGATGCCTCTGAGTCAAAGTCAGGGTCGTCCATGACGAAGGAGAGCATCTGCTGAGCGACTGGAACCTCTGGGTCAGTGTCAGAGTCTTCAGCTCTTGGTGAGTTTCCCCTTTTCTTGGCTTGGTGTTGGTTCTGCTGCTCAGCAACAGGAACTAATGTCAGGGAGATTTGAGCTGCACTCTGACCTTTATTATCTGGAGCTTTAGATACTGCCTTTGGTTTGGTGACCTGAATCACAGGACTGGAAAAATGGGGGGAAAGACTGGTCATCATGCAAATTCCAGGTTCTCCAGGGAAATGTTGAAAGTTTAACATTTATTTTAATTTCATTTAGACCATGATGAGGCTAATGTTATCCTGCTGATTTTGAGCTCTTTGACTGTGCTGTCATGGGAATTGCATAAATTAAAGATTAGAGATTCCAAAGTAACTGCAACACAGTGGATAAAAACCTCACGTTGTCAGGTTTTCAGGTTCACTATCCAGGCCCTGGTCCAGTGTGACAGTGTGGGGTAAAGGTTGCTTCTCTTCCTCTTCATCACTAGTCAGAATGACGTCTTTGGTGAGTGGCAGTGTCTTGGATGAAGGAAGGCTAGGCTTGGTGTCATCAAGATCCAGTTCATCCTGAAAATGAGACACCATGGGGTTTCCTCGCTCTTCGCCGTCACTGGAACAGAGGAGAGACAAAGGACCATTTTTAGGTTCACGGACACACAGAAGTTTCACTAATGATGATGATGGTTATGGATATAATAAAATAAATGAAATGAGCAGGGAGTCTTTGTTTCTTCCCCGAGTATTAACATATTACCTGTCACTGTCCACAGGTGGAGCTGGCTGAGGAACCTTGGTCTTGGGCAGGCTGTCCTCCAGGAAACTCTTGTCCAGTCTTTCATCTGGGACAAAGTCATCAACACTGTGGACTTTAGCAGGGCACACTGGAGCTGCAGCAGCCGGAATATCTTCTGAGAAGAAATCATCAAAATATATGTGTGGGTTAAGAAGGATAACAGACCCAACTGAATTATTTTGAAACTTTGCAGC